CCTACAAGGTCTTGTCATAAGCTTGTTTTTCATAAAATCCTTTTGGGATGTGATAACCATTGAATTTGCCCCACTTTGCCAACACCCTATTTAAGTGTGGATCCACTTGAGTCTCACAATGATCTGCCACTACCACAGGTTCATAAACTGGGGAAGCTGGGAGCAAGCCTCCCTTCCTTGAAGGGACATGCAGTAGACCAGTTCATCACTAGTAAGCAAGCATTTAAGCTCAGCTAGGGCAGCTTAGACATCTGCCCTGTTCCTAGGGCTGCTCTTCTAGGCCTTTTGGATGGATGAAGGAGAATCGTTTGAATTTGTAGCAGTTCATTAATCCTTGCCTGTATTATACAAGACGTATATAAGCAATCCCACCTCAGGGTACGTACCTGTGTTAGGTCAGCTGAGGACAGTCTCTCTATTTTGTGCCTTTTTAAATGAGGTTGTCAGCCTCCTGCCTAACCGCTGACGTGTGCTTGGGCAATTTTTATCAGGCCTGACAAAAACTTTCAATATCCTTTTCTGTGCTGGGTAAGCAGAGCATCTTAGTGAAATTCTGTTTGCTGAATCTCCTCAGGTGACCATGGCCAACTTAGACATTCCTTTTGCCATGTTTGCTCCCAAGAATGTTGAGCTGGAAGATAACGACACCATGGTAAGCCTCTTCCAGAGGTATAATATTGTGCCTTCTCAGCATCCCTTACGCAACATCCATGCTACTCCCTACCCTGAATACACTTTGGTTTTTGAGCAAAGAACTAGTTATTCAGATTTGTTTGGTTTCAAGAACTCTCCTGTGTTGTCTTGGGCTCTCTACACATGCAAGTAACAGTATGTGTTTATTGTCCAACCTCCTAACTACCCCCACACTGTCAAAATACACAGACAGACGTGATCATAAGATCAGTACTCACCATCTTTGATTTCTTGGGCAGGTCAATCCTCCTGACTCCCCAGAAACTGAATCTCCTCTACAAGGCAGCTTACACTCGGAGGGCTCCAGTGGCAGCAGCACAGGGAACACCCATGATGACTTTGTTATGATTGACTTTGTAAGTGCCCTCATCAGTACTCTCACATAACACCTGCATCTTAGATGGGCTTCAGGTGCTGGTGCAATGGCAAATGATGTAAGAGTAGTTTTCCACGGGAGTGGAAAAGACCCATGATTCACAGTTCCAAACTAGAGCTTGATGGTCCCAAAACTGCAAAGACACTGACACTTGGAACCAACAGCTACAAACTGTTCCCTACCAACACCTGGGCTTGGCGTCCTCTCTCTAATGTCTAAAGGAGCCAGATTCCAAGGAAATGCTCTCTTCCAAGTGCTCAGGCAAACACAGATCTTAGCTGTTCTTCAGTTATTTAATCTGCATTATTGCAGCAACAATTGTAATGCCAAGATGTTTACTGATAGCAGGTAATGACTTTACCTGAGATTATGGCAAAAGGGAAGCCAATGTCTCTGAATGGGAATTAACAGCAATATCTTTCATTCTAGAAACCAGCATTTTCAAAAGATGACATTCTTCCAATGGACCTGGGGACATTTTACCGTGAGTTTCAGAACCCCCCTCAACTCAGCAGCCTCTCCATTGACATTGGAGCGCAGTCCATGGCAGAGGATTTGGTATGGAACCCTGAAATTTCTGTTTGCGGGAATTGTATGTACTTTATAATGCTCTCCCTATTCCTAGTTTGAAAAAAGTCGTTATCTTCATAAAATAGTTTGGGTTGGAAGGGACCTTTAAAGGTCATCTAGTCCAAACCCACAGCTGTGGGCAGGGACATCTTCAACTAGATCAGGTTGCTCAGAGCCCCGTCCAGCCTGACCTTGAATGTTTCCAGGGATGGGGCATCTACCACCTCTCTGGACAACCTGTGCCAGTGTTTCACCACCCTCATCGTAAAAAATTTCTTCCTTATATCTAGTCTGAATCTACCCTCTTTTAGTTGAAAACCATTCCCCCTTGTACTGGCATTACAGGCCTTGGTAAAAAGTCTGTCCCCATCTTTCTTATAAGCCTCCTTTAATATATTGAAAGGCTGCAATAACGTGTCTCTGGAGCCTTCTCTTCACCAGGCTGAATAACCCCAACTCTCTCAGCCTTTCCTCATAGGAGAGGTGTTCCATCCCCTTGATCATTTTTGTGGCCTCCTCTGGACCCGCTCTAAGAGGTCCATGTCTTTCCTGTACTTCTCAGAAGAGAGACCCTGCCCAAAGCGGGTCCCTCACTTATATGTTCCAGACAAATGCAAATTTGTTTGTGGCACACCTGAGCCTCTGAAATTGGTGTGTTTATCTTCAGACTGAAAGCTGCTGCTGCATGCTTGCTGTGGCTGTCACTGAAACCCCCAAAACTAATCCTACCTCTGACATGTCCAGCTTAGTGGCAAACTAGGCCTGAACTTGCAGCCTGAGCAGAGGTAAAATCCTGGTGTGGCTGGTGAAAGTCATGTCTGGGTGAGCGCTGTATTGGGCTCGCAGGCATTGTAACATGCTGTGGGGAAAAATGAGTTCCAAAGGCTGCAAGTGACTTAATGAAGGCAGTGACAGGAGCAGGTTATTGTGCTGCAGCTGGTGGGGGGAATTGCACAAGGCGAGGCCCCAGTGCACCTACTCTTCCTGCGGAACACACACACTCGGCAGAGTGCCCTTCTCAGGGTCGCTTGCTGGATGCTGCCAGAGGACTCCTGGTTTTGTGCACGTGGGAAGGGGAGCCCAGAGCAGTGGAGAGGGGTTGCATGACTCAGAAAAAGAATTTTTACCTTAGAGTGTGTGTTTAAAACTTCCTTTTATCAGCTGTGGATGAGCCCTGATCTGCACCCTTCTTTACCCTTCCAGGACTCGTTACCAGAGAAGCTGGCAGTCCACGAGAAAAATGTCAAAGAGTTTGATGCCTTTGTAGAAACCTTGCAGTGAAGCTGTTTTCCAGTTTTGCTGCAGCAGTTCTTCCTCCTCAAGGCATCCTGGAGAATGACGTCAACAAATCTCTCTTATTGCCCCTGCTCTGCCTTTTGTCTCACTTTGACTAGTTCCTTCCATCAAGTGAGCTTTCTTTGATTGCTCTCTTCAACAGCAGATACAGCTCATCTGCTGATTTTCCTCAACTACACCACCGCATAGTTCTGGACCGCTTTTCCTGCTCACAGTCAGTTTTGAATTTAAGACTTCAGTAGGGACACAGGAAGTCAAACACCAATATACGAAACTTATTTTCTCCTCAGTCTCTGTTCTGTGTGGAGGGGCTTTGTGAAAAGTTGCCATGTGCTTCCTCCAGAGGTCCTATGGTGTAAGTTCCCTAGGTATAGCTTCTTGCTAACAGACTTTTTCCTACAGTCTCCGATCCTGTTAGAGCGTAGAAAGCTTTGGCTCATTTCCAGGGTCTGTGAGTTCAGCAGATTCGACAGTTTTAAGTCCAGGACATCCATTCTGCAGAACGGGGCATTTCATCCTGACTTCAGTGTGAGTGCCTGGAGCCCAGGAAGAGACGTCAGCTTTGGGACCTGTGTCATACAAGTTACCTTTGTTTTCCTGCTTCTAAGGAACTGGGTCTCTGCACAGTCGTTTTGTGTGAGGCCTTCTGTTGTGCTGGCTGATAAGAAGGAATGAAACTACAGAAGCGCTTTCCACGTTTCCTTCCTGAGCGTACTGACGCTCGGCCGTGCTGAGTTTACCAGTGCTGACTGTTGGCAAGCCTGCACGTAGCAGCTGTGATGATGCTGAATTCATAGTCTCCGCTTCTGAAATGTGACTGTAAATACTAGGAATCCTATTTCTTTAGGGTTATGTAACTAGGAGTCTTAGTCCAAGATTCTTTCCTCTAACCCTTGCAAACCTTCCTGCTTTATGGTTAATAGATGATCTTAAGAATCCAGAAATATTTATTGCTTTTAAAGAAACCTATATTTAAAAGATGTTCTGTTTTCATGTAGTAGTGCGGGTCATTCTGCCCTGGATCACTGCAGACAGCAAGTGTGCCATGTGAACCCTGGCCAGTGAGACTGGTCTCTCTTTGCAGGAAAATATCCAAGATATTTATTTTCTAAGACAGACTTGATTATTCTAATATAATACTCTGTTTTGGGGACTATGTGTCCATTACATCCAGTCAGGGCCCATTGATAGAATGAAATGCACACATCAGTGGAGTGGAGTGGCAGGGAGTTGGTAAAAAGCTGTATTCTGATAGGCATGGATGAATTTGCAGTGTTCTTCAGCCATTCAGAAGGCAGCTTCTTTAAAGAAGCACATTTTTTGGGAGCTTATGGTACTTTTTAATCAGCTGGCTTTTGATTAGCTGAAATTTTATTTTTGTAATGATCTGGCTATCAACAGTGTGACTGGCTGGCAGTGCTCTGTGGTTGATTTGGCTGTTGCGTGTCTTTTGCCTGATGTAAGGACGGGAGGAGAAACGGTGACACTAAACAGAAACTTAGATGAGGTAGGTCTTCTTGTGGTTCTCTCTCCTCCTCCCATGTGTAACTAGAGTGAGCAACTGCAAGACCCCTTACTGTCCTAAAACACTTTTTTCCCTTTCTTTCTCCAAAAGTGGGGTTGTGTTGCCTCAGGACTGAGGAACCATCTTCATTTCCTTAGAGTGGCTGAGTAATCAGCCTTCTAATTAGTGCTGCATTCTTAATTGAAAGAGATTGCTAGCAGCTGACGGGGGGAACCCCACCTCCTCTCTACAACACTATTTCTGTGCCACTGCTAGAGCAAGGAACCGAGTTCAGAATAGAGCTTATTGTAAGGTCAGAGCAGCACAATGCTTTGAACTTTACCAGCTTTTTTGTTGAGCGATGTGTTCGGTGGGAGGCCATGTGAGCTCTTAAAACGCTAGGTAAGAGCTTTGTTGAAGGAAAGCTACCCACCAGAACCTTTTTAGCTTGCTCAACCAATTCAGCTTTTCAGCAACCTCACACAGCAATTGCTTAGTCCTTGCAAAATAAGATGCACAAACATTTAAGAAAGCTTCCAAGATAAACAGCTCACAAAAGGGCTTAAGTTACATGGGCTTTACCAAATACTTGATCCCCGCAGCCAGAGCCACCTTGTTTTACAGGTGGAAAGGGTCGCAGAAGGGTGCAGGAACACAAGGAGTTAATGGATCAGCTGGCTCTCACCTCTGCTCAGGAAGTTGGTCTCTGCCACCTTGTAGGAAGTAGCTGTCGCCTTTCTCTCAACATAGAGGCTGTGCTTGGGAAAGTGATACGCTCTGAGCTGCCAAGCAGCAGAGGTGGGGTAAAGTGCTGGTTCACGCTGTATTCATGAAGAATAGACTAGGTTGAACTTCATCTAGCCAGTGCTACTGTTGTCCTCTTCTCACGCTGACAAGCTATGGAGTTGGCAGAAAGCAAGCCCTTCTTGCTAATCCTGTCCAGAAGGTCCCCCGAGCCAAATACTTGTGCTCATTTGTTGATGCAGTTCCTAACATGGCTACAGCTCCCACATCTCATGAGGCAGAACGTCAGTGTGGCACGTTTTCCTCTGCTTCAAAAGGCTGGAAATTTGCCTATATAAGCTGCTAGTGTTGAGCTGGATGGCCACAGCAATAAAGAGATTCTCTAGGGCCGAGTTATGTGCCTCCTTCCTGGACATTCCTCAGTTTCAACACATAGTTGCTACATCTAGGCTCTGAGTTCCCTGACCACTGCACAAATGCTCTGCTTCAGGAAAGATCTAGCTGCTGCTGTGGCCTGCCACAGATTGTGTTATGAAGGCTGTTTATTTTAGCAGCTGTCTGCTCGATTCTATATTAAGGACAGTATGTATGTAGCTGCTGATTTACAGATACTTTGGGTGAAGGGGAAGGCTCCTAAATTGTATTGTTTTGGAAATAGTCTCCCATGTACTTCAAGTATTCAAAGAATTTCCAATAAAACTTTTACGTAAGCAACACACTGTGCTTTTCTCCATCTGTACTGACAGGTCCGGGATAGTCCCAACCTCTCACTCTTCCTCCTCCAGGAAAGGGGATGGTCAGAGAGCTGCCTGTCGGTGAGTGCAGGGCGGAGCAGGCTGCTGCCTCCAACAGAGAGGGTAAAATGCACTGCTGTGTTACAGTTGGAGTAGTCAGCAGGATCCTGGTGAGACCACCCTACTGGAAGAAGGATAGCGAGGAAGAGGCAGAACAGGCGCCTGGCTGGTCCCAAACGCAGGCGTGGGGAACAGTCACACAGTGTTTGGCCCTGGTGACCTCAGTGAGTCGGGAAACCAAATTATCTGGATGTCCCGCCCCAGCTGAAATATTAACTTGTCTCCAAAAGAAGGGGGTGGGAAAAGGGAAAAAAAAAAGCTACCAGCAGAATTTGCATTGTACTTGGTTGCTACTACATGCTTAAAAGGAGCGTGGGAATGTTTTGATCTGATAGAAGAGACTAATAAGATGTGGAAAGAACCAGTGTGGGTATCCCAGCAGCAAGAAATGCTGGTGAAAGAGCATGCTGCCTGCAGCATGTAGTTCATGCCTGTCTGATAATCAAACTTAACAGCTGTATTCTAGTGTTGCTTAAAGTTAACACTATATAACACACGATGCCACGTAAGGTGCGAACACCTTCCCTTTAAAGGAAAAACAAGATGGTAAAAATCTATGTGTAAATATAACAACTGCTGATTTAAGCTGCAGTGTAAAGGGTGTCTGGTTATTATAAAGAAGAGACAGTGGATGAAATGGCAGGAATGGAAAATAAAAAAAAAAAAAAAGAGAGAGAAAAATGACTGTGTATAGTGGAAGCTTCTATGAAGGGAAATATTCCAGCTTGGGGAACAAGGATAACTATTAAAAGCAATCTTTTCTTAATCTTATCTTCAGGAGGTAACATAGTAAACTGCGTATCCCATTGCAACCTTATAGATACTGATCTATCTACATTACATGCATGTATATGTGTGTGTATTTTTGAGTATCATTTCATGCACTTACAAAAAACACTGCACAATGTGGGGAGAGATGAATTGCTGGCAAATTCACATAAACCGTCCTGTGGGATCTGGGCCTTACTACAGGGCCATCAGTATCTACCCTCTTCACTGTGTCACCGGTAAGACAAGGGATTGGAAAAACCATCAGCAAGTAGGTGAAAAAGTAAGCAGTCCTAGAAGAATGATTAATCACCAAGGTCGTGAACAATCAAATACCATCCAGTTGTGAGCCTACTGTATGTATTTATAAAAAGAAAAATGTTCTCAGAATAATGTCCTTAAGGCCGCAGGGCAGCTACACATGAAAACACATCCAGTTGCAATGGTGTTTACGCTGTGCGAAGTACTGTCCATGCGGTTGCACATAGCGTACGTCCTGCCAACTACACCACTGTCAGGGACGGACCCGCCTGCTCCCGAGCTCCTCTGAGGCCAGAGCAGATGTTGCCACAGCGCAGCCTCAGCAGCGGCAGGTCACTGTCACCGAGCCCAGAGATGGGACCAACCGCCGCCCTCGCAGGAGGTTTGAGATACTGCTGCGTGGTCAGCGTATTAACCACGCTGGCCCCGTTACAGGGGGCCAACACAGTCCAAGGGGTGGCAAATCACAAACTACAGCCAAAAGCACCATCCGCATGAAAAAGCCCCAGAGAAATAAGAAGTAGTAAACCCCTCAACTCTACAACTGAAGTACTGCCCAGTGAGTTACAGCAGGCAAATAAATTAATAAATCAGGCTACAAGGACCATATGCAAAGTGTTACCTGTGAACAGATGCCAAAAACACCTCTGCCTTCTGGTGTACGGCTGACAGCTTGTCACGAGTCACGCTGAGTAATGCAACATGCGGAAGGAGAATTGGCAACACTGGGAAGCCCTTACTTGGACGGCTTATCAGGAATAAAAACTGAAAAGCAGCACGCAGTTTTAGAAATGCAAGTGTTAACATCAGCATTAACGCATCATCCAGACAAGGCCAGTAGCCAGGGCTGCTGCCCCATGGTGATGCTTTTAGCTCCAGTGCTCTCCGTTCTACGCCGGTTCTCACACCCACTATTGGGTTCACTTGTTGCTACACTTGTAGTATTAATTGTAGTAATCACTTTGCATGTAAGAGCCTTTCTACTAGCCAAAAAGCTTACTAATGTAACCAGCAAACTACAGTGTCTTTAGGAAAAGGTCGTTAACTGTATGGGGATCAAGGGGTGGAGTGTAGTGGTCCTAACCAGAAAACTATTGTACATCGAGGAGACAGCGATCCCCGTAAGTTGAGATGAGAAGGTGCAGGCCTCTGCCACACATATCACCTGGCTGCAGGATAAACTTAACCAGCTAATCCTAACTGGGGAGCCTGCTGGCGGCTCCCAGTTGGCACTGGTGATACCACAACCTGTGCAGCTCCCTGGGTCCGCCTCTGGGAAAGGGCAATCCTAGGCAAATTGCTCATCATGACAGACAGTAACATGGAAGCCCAGCCCTGTTCAGGAAAGAGCCAAACTTGCCATACTTTATTTTTGTTTGAATTCTGTTTCCAGCCTGAGGCTCCTGCAAACTAGTATTTCTTCCCAGAGTTACTCACATAGGGGGCATTTCATACTCACTTTCCTCCCTGTCTGCCTGGTTGTGGTTGGCAGCATAGCCAGCCTTACTTCTGTTTCTTGTAGATGTGCCACAGCTGCTGCCACTTGACAGACACACCTGGATGTGGGATTACATTTTGATTTTTATTGAAATACAAAAAGTGCAAACTGTGAAATATAAGATTGGTGCAGATAAGAAGGAAATAAACAATGTGAACCGTGAAAACCCCAGCCCTGCAACTGATGAACATCAACAGAAAAGAAGGCAGGGAACACCAGCAACAAAAGCAAAGCCAAAAATTTTGCACAGGAGCCCCTGTGCACGAAAGAGGAAACAGGGACCAAACTGGCCCTCAGTGCTCTCTCAAACTAGCAAACATCGCCACAAGGCATCCAGTTG